GAAAAAGTTAAGTGAAAATGTCTTCTCAGCATGTTTTCTTCAATGATCAAATTTCCACATTTACCTGTGTGCCTGTGACCTTCCCACGCTAGCCTCATCTCTGAGGGACAAGTCACATCAGTAACTTCTTAATTGCAACAGATTTCTGTTTTTTCTACAGACATTTAGCTTAAAATTATTTTTTTCTATTGTTTGTGTGTATGTGAGGTATGTGTGGGCCCACGTCCTTTACTTCTTGAATTTTAAAGTAAAGCCCAAGTCTGAAACAAAATGTGCTGTGCTGAGTTCCTTTAAGTTACCTACAAAACTATGGAAAACAGATTTGGAAAAAATGCTTTACTCTGAACAGATTCAGTGAGACTGCCTGAGCTTCAGAATGTGGAAAGTGATCTGAGTGTCACGGCTGGAAGTACACTGTGAACGAAGTTGAATGATTCTTACCTCTGTTTTGGTTTTAATATCTACATTATACTCCAGTAGTTTGCGGACAACTGGTATGTTCCCTCTGCAAATGGCGTAGTGGAGGGCAGCATAGCCACTGTCATCTACAATGTTGGGATCAGCACCGTGCATGAGAAGAATGGCGACACATTCTAAATTGTCCCGCTGGGTGGCCTGTGGGTATTGGAAAAAGAAAGAGACACTGAAATCAAGAACTTTAATAAGCATTCTAACAATTCCATTGACTAGTTACCCTTGGATCAGACCGATTGTTTAGGTCATGCATATGATCCCTCTCAAGTACCCAGACTTTCCTAAATTCCTAACCTCTCCACCAAAGTTTTCCAAGTGGTAGAATTTCAGAGGTGTGCCACCACACCTAGATAGTAAAAGATTTCACTAGCACTGTTTGGCCATTGTTGTAGTGGGGGAGGCTGCTTGTTCATTTGCTTGTTTTGGTAACTTGATACAGGTTGAAGACACCTGGAAAGGAAGGAACCTCACTTGAAGAATTGCCTCCACCAGACTGGACTCTAGGAAGCCTGTATAGTATTTTCTTAATTGAGGTTGATCTGGGAGGGCACAGCTTCCTAGGGGTGGTGGCATGACTGGGAAGGTTGTCCTGAGTAGTATAGGAAATCTGAGCAAGCCCTGGAAAAAGCCACGGAAAAGCATCGTTCCCCCATGACCTCTGCTTCATTCCTGCCTCAGGTCCTGATTGAACTCCTGGCCTGGTTTCCCTTCATGACTGCCTATGATGTGGAATTGTAAGCCAAATAAACCTTTCCTTTCTGGGATGGTTTTGGCTAGTGTTTCATCACAGCAACAAAAACCAAACAAGGATAATTTCTAATCCCTTTAATACCAAAAGTGTTTCCCGATAGCTACCTTAATTAAGGGTGTGCAGCCTTCATCATCCTTCATATTAATATCAGTACAGTCGTGGGATGATAGCAATCTTACTACATTTGGATGATTATGGGCAGAGGCGTAGTGAAGTGGACTCCTACAAATTGAGAGGACATTTTAGAAAATTACAGATTATTATATGTAAAGGCACACTCAAGTAGACACCAATGTGTATTTCCTTCTGATGTAAGAGAAGAAACTAAAATTTTCTTATTTACTTATTTCTCTACTCAGGTGTTCATTTTCTGTGCTAGGCATATAGCGCATGGCTGTCCCATTCAAGGCGAGTGCTCTATGGCAAGCTTCATCCTTCCTCAGAGCAGCCTCCCTGGATAAGAGGAGAATGCCCAGTAGATTGAACTCAGATTGGATTTGAATCCTACTCTAATCACTGAGTGTTACTAGTTACAACATAGACGTCCTATGAGCTCCACAAATCAGTCTCTCCATCTGTAGAATGCGGATTCAACACTGCAGCTCTCTTACACAGTGCTGCTGTGCCCCTTCAACTCACATCTTCCAGAGCACGTACAAATGCTTCCAGCACCTGACAGCTCAGTGTTGCTGGATACAATTACAATTTGTTCCTAATGGTAACAAACACAATATTTCAATGAAGAGAAATAGCAGAATTTTACATATTGCAGATGTGAAAGTTTTTACTCAAGTATCTTTACAATATTTTAAAACTATATTCCCTAAGCTGGCCTTGAACTTGGTAATCCTCCCAGTAGGTAGGAATGCAGGCAGTTCCACTGCACCCACCTTACTCTTTATTTCACACTTCAGCATCGTTGATGTCTGCCACTTATAATTCATATTTTATGAATATAATTGGCAATGTTTTTTTACTTTGCTACCATACAAAATAAAATGTCACCATGCAGTCCATTGTGCCTTACATCCAATGAAATATGACACAATCCACAGGCCCATGACACTTCTGAAGGTCACATGTATCTATGTAAATTTCAGCTCTTAAGACTATGAAATGTAAACATATTTAGAATAGCAATAACAAACAAAACTCTAAATTTTCATTCATCAATACTTTAATTTTTTCCCACTTTTCAATGCCCAGAATTAATGTTTCTATATTTGCTGCCAATAGGGACACAGCATAGTCCTCAGTCAATAGACAGAATGTCCATGTTAATATAGACACCAGGTGGTAGCAAATGGCTTTGCCTTATACCTCCATGAATTAGCACCAAAACTGAGCAAATATATCCAGAAGGAGGTAACCCTTGGTATCATAGCTCCCTTGCTTTGATTTTCAATAAGCTTAAAGTAAAAAAAAAACCACTAGGGATTCAGTTGAGCATCATTCCTTGTTTTCAATATTTAAATTTATAGAACATCAGGAAAACTGACTGGACAGAGAAATTTAATATTTTAAGAATGAGAAGGTCTTGAGAGCTAGTAGATTTGTATGCTGTACATTAGTTACGTGCAGGGAATAAGTGGATTGGCATAACGGATAAATACAGCTGGAAAATTCAGTGTTTTTAAAGACTACACTTATTAAGCAAAAACATTTTGAAACAATAATTTACTGTTCTATTATTTGTATGAAGCTCTAATTTGGAAGACTGAATAACTATAGACTAAATAACCTCAGAACTACAGACAAGATCAAGAAGCATGTGAGCTATGGAGAATCTACTGTTGAGGGTCATTGTTTCCTGCCTATAATCTAGTGAGAAACAGGAAACAGGGACGAAAAAAGAGGACTGCAGTGATTGTTACAACTCAGTTGGGAAATCACTCACCCTGCAAGCCTGAGACCCCAACTTCAGAACCCCCAGCACCTTGAGAATCTGGTGCTGGAGATGTGGATACAGGAGGATCCCCAAATCTTGCTTGCCAGCAAGTCTAGGTCAATCAGTATACTCCAAGACAATCAGTCAAACACAGCGGGGATTTGGGTGAGAGAATCTGTCTAAAAAGCTGAGGTGGAGGAACCACAGGTGGTTCATGAGGTAGGGCACCTACTGGCAGAGCCAATGGCCTACGTTCAATCCCCAGAATCCACAACGTGGCAGAACACAGCTGTCGATAGTTCTCTTCTGACCTTCACACACTTATTTAGAATGTGTGAGGCACAAGTGCACACACACATATGACTTTTTAATGAGATGAAAAGAAATTTTCAAAGAGAATGTCAACCGTTAGCCTTCATGTATGTACCAAAACACACACATGTATATAAGGGGCCGGGGGACAGAGTTAAAGTTCAAGTTGAAAATTTCCTTATGAAATCCCTCAGCAAGCATGAAACAGACATAAGATTTCTTGGTAATTCTTTTTTTTTTTTTTTTGGCTTTGAGTTGGCTTTTTATGTGAAAATTTATCTTATGATACAATTTTCTGTGTTGCATATAACATAGCATTAAAAACATATACATTAAAGGGCTGGAGAGATGGCTTGGCATTTACAAGCTCTAGTTTTTCCTGCAGAGGGCCTGGGTTTGATTCCTAGCACCCACACAGCCCATCACAACTGTCCATGACTCCAGTTCCAGGAGATCCAACACCCTCTTCCTATGCTTGTGTGGTACACTGAAAATACGAGCAGCCAAAACACTCAAACCTAAAAATTATAAGTGTACACATAAAAAGATGTATGTGGTTTCCTTAGCTAAATTCCTGTAAAGCCCTCAATAAAGTGCTCTAAAAGAGACAATGTACAGGGATTTGTAAACTAACTGAAGTTCTTTGTTTTGCCTCTCTTAAAGAAAGCCTTGGAGCTTCCCTTCCAAGGTGTGCAGGTTCAGGTACCTAGGAGCCTAAAGCAGGTACAAAACCCAGAGGTCTCCATGAAAGAAGAGCCTTAAGCATGACATCTGCCCTCCCACCGGCTGCAGATCTGGAAGGTATGTTTCTCCCTGGTAGACCCTGACTGTCCCCAACAGTTTCTGCCCCTCCTGCCCCTCGCCCCTCCTCATGCCCCATTACCTGTGCCTCCGGTCACATTCATTAACATGGTGTTCACTGGCATTGATCAATCGCTCCACTAAAGCGACATCACCCACAGCAGCCGCCCTTTGGAACCGTCCCACGGGATCATACCCAATAAGGTGCAAGTGAAATCGCTTTTTTCGACACAAGCACCCACAACCCCGGCATGCAGACCACAGGCGGGTATACCAGCGAGTCCGCTGAGGGGCCCGAATGGTAAGGCCATCATAAGTGAAGTCCTCCTGCATGTTGATGCTCAATGCTCCACAGGCCGTCCCAGCCCTCCTGTCCTTCCTGACAACCCCGTACCCCCCTCAGGCTCTCCCGGCCCTCCCCGGCCCTCCCGGCCCTACTGCCCCTCCCTGCCTTCCCCTTTAGCCACCCGCACCCTCCCAAATCCAACAAGTAAACGTTCAAAATCTAGTTAAGACTTCCCCACTGAACCAAATAAGCGTCCTGCTTGGGCAGATGCTTGGTTCAGTGTGAGCTGAATTCTGCTTCACTCTTAGCAACACAGTTACAGGGGCATAGTGATGCGCTATGAGCTCACATTGGTACTCAGCAGCTGTGCACCATGTCAGACTCCAGCGACAAAAGCATACAGTGCTCAGTACATGTAGACAAATATTGTATGTTTTCTCTTTGAAGGTTCTGATGATATGGGAACTTCAATCTGAATATCCACAGAGGTATGGAACCTAGTAAGGGACCAGGAGAAAGGAGAGTATCTCTCAAGGAAAGGAAAAAGTCTATAGTGTTATGTAGCTATTAAGGAAAACTAGAATTGGATGGTTTAATGAAAGGGGGATGGGACAGAAAGGTAAAGGAAGGAAAATGGAACCAATACTAAAGGCCCTTTGAAAAACTATATGAACACTGACTATCCCAGAATCTTCCTATACATATGTGAAAGGAATCCACAGGGAGAAAAAAAAAAAAACAACAGGGGAGAGAAGAATTCAACTAGATATCTAGTGCCACCAAATGAAACCTCCGGTGCCAGGAACAGGTTACAGCCTGTTGAGTCATTCACCAAAGGGACCCATGGAAACCACCAAATAGCACAGGCTCTGGCCAAGGCTCTTGGTTGCTCACACAAGCTGATGATAAGGTCTTGTTTCTGAAGGTCACATTTCTGTCACTGAATATGGAGAAGTTGAGCTGGTGTCTAACTACATTATTCACCTACTAACCACAGTTCACTGTACTGGAAGGTAATCTACATGCCCCTGGAGGAGAAAAGTAGTCCTCAATACCTCTCAGCACAAACCCTTCAACCTACAGCCACACCCAAATGGAAGGAAGCTCACAGATATTTTTTATCTAGGGGATCCAACACCCTCTTGTCTCTTTGCAGGCACTAGACATGCACACAGTGAACATACATATATGCAGTCAAAACATACATGGACATGAAACAAATGTGATCTGTAGATAATGAGAAGTAATACATTTATATAGTAAGTTCACTCTTTTAAAGTATATAAGCCAGTAGGTATTTTTTACTATGTTCTTAAAATTATGCAACCATCATTTTTTGCTTTTAAAATAATTTTGTCATTTGAGAAAAACCACTTTATTCATTAGCAGTTACTCTTCATTTCTCCAGACCCCCATCACCTATTAGTTCCCACTCTAACTTTCTGTTTCAAGTGTCTCATTCTGGGTACTAAAGAGAAATCAAATCATCTAATAAAGAAGTGTCCCACTATTCATTCCTTTGGCTACATTCAACTGAACTTAATGTTTGTGATATTTATTCATGTTATAGGATGTATCTTTTGTCTACCCCTTTCCATGACTATAAACTAGACCACTGTATTAACATACCACCCTTTGTTTTCCTACTCATCAAGCAGTAGGTAATTGGGGTATCTCCCTTTTTTCTTATATAAATGCTCAGGTGCTGGTGGCTGCACCAGTTTAATCTACATTCCAGCAGTAATGTAGCAGGTTCCTGTTCTATGGCATCTTTACACTCTCACATGTGTCCCAGTACCTGTGCATGCTAGACAAGTGCTTTATCTGTGACCTATATCCTCAACATGCAACATGTACTTTTCAATTTTTAGACCATATTTTGCTGTCCAGCTTCAAACTCATATGTGATACACACACACACACACACACACACACACACACACACACGTACATACACGAGCATGCACACATAGTTTGATAAACACATATACACATGCACCCACAGATATCATGGCCCTGTCCTTCCTCACGCCCTGGGTAAGTGGGGTGAGATGATGGAAGCAGATCTGTCTGTTGGTGGAGGCTGACTGTTTATTTCCTTGCCACCCAGACCCAAAATAATCACACAGAAACTGCATTATTTGCAATACTGTTTGGCCAATAGCTTAAGTGTATTTCTAACTTACATGTTAAATTAGCCCAATTCTATTATTTGATATTTAGCCACGAGGATCATGGTTTACCAGTAAAGTTCCGGGCATTTTCTCCTCTGGTAGCTACATGGCTTCTTCTTGACTCTGCCTATATTTTCTCTTTATATCTCAGTTTGGAGTTATCACCTGGCATTACTCTCTTAGGTAAATTTGTTAATCAGCTTCCTTTTTAATCAATGACAATAAAACATATTCACATCATACAGAGCAGAATCCCACACCATCTGTTTCTTATGGTGAATAGAGTTTTAGAGTAAGGAGCTATAGCTGGGTTTTGTTATCTTCGTCCAAAAAAAGTACAAGAAATCTACTTCCACCTTACCCCTCAATACTAGTAATTCTTTGTATTTTTGGTGTGTTTTTGAGACAGATTCTCTATCAAGCTGGGTCTAAACTTCTACTTGAGATTCTTTTGCCTTAATCTCCCAAATGCAAACATTATAGGCACCCCATAATAGCTAAATTAATTTGAGTGAGGAGGTGTACTATTTAAAATTTATTCTCCACTGAGTCTAGGCCCACGTAGGGATGATAACAGAACACTTGGATTGTCTTTGTTTCTCGGGTTTTTTCAATGAAGAAACAGTCTCAGAGACGTTAACGTCTTGTCACAAGTCATGTCCTTGAATTTGGCAGGGTGGTGATTGTACATACCTTACTCCCAGAAGTACGGAGACAGAGGCAGGCAGAGCTCTGTGTTTTATCCCAACCTGATCTATGAGCAAGTATCAAGACAGCCATGGACACATGGAGAAATCCTGATTAAAAACACAACTGAACAAACAAATAAAAGCAACTTGAACTTGAACTGTCAGACTCCAAAGTTTCTACCCTTCAGGTTTTTCTCTGAACCTCACGAGATTGTTTCCACCCATCAGATGCTCAATCCTCACTAGTAGCAGCTTTTCCCAAGGTTTATGCCACCTCCTACTTAGAATCATCCCTTTACCTAGCCTCATTCCGTTTCCCACAAGGCAAACAAATTGAAAGAATGAGGCCTGTTTGAATGTAAACCCAATGATCCTGTACATCCTAGCCTGACAGAGATGCTCTGGGGGCCAGGTGCAGAGCAGGGACTTGTCCAGCTCTTCCCTCACTCCCCTTGTGATCAGCTATGGATTAATTCTTTTAGGTCAGCTTGCAAACTGAGTCTCCCAGTCCCCTGACTCTGGAAAGTTTTTCCTGAATGCCTGCAGTTCACTGCTGGGCAGAGTCTCTTCTTTACTTTAACTCTCTTCAAATACATTTCCTTTCTCCCCTGCATAAATTGGCACCATCTGGGTGTGGAATGTCTGGAGAAGCACAGGCCAGTCAACTGAGCTGTCTGCTCAGGTTTTACGCTCAGCATTGTATACAGAGACAAAAGTAAAGCCAGGTTTGCTCTGATGACTCTAGAGCTCTCATATTAATTCCTTCATCAGGTTGTCTCTCTGTGAATGGGAATCCAGCTCAAGGCTTTAAAACAAGAGTGGGTGCTGTGGAATAGGGCCTGGTAGAGGATGGAGTAGAGTATAGAAACAAAGTGGATGAGTGATGTGGGATTCCCCTTTGCATGCTGTGAATATTTAATGTGCTATTAAAGAAACTGTCTTGAGACTGTGACAGAGTAGAATAGAGCAAGGTGGGGAAAATTAAACTGAATGCTGGGAGAAAGGAGGCAGAGCCAGACATAACTTGACCCAGTAAGACACAGCCACGTGGCAATACACAGATTACTAGAAATAGGTTAAATTAAGATGTAAGAGTTAGCCAATAAGAAGTTAGAGCTAATGGGCCAAGAAGTGATTTAATTAATACAGTTTTGTGTGATTATTTCAGATCTGAGCAGCCAGAAACAAAAAGGCAGATTCCTTACAACAAATTGGTGCTCCAATGTGGTTGACTATATCCATGTAAAACCCAATTAAGCTTGAAAAGGAACTCTAGATACACATAAAACCCCAAAGTTTAGTCCTTGGGCAGCTGAGGAGAGGTCACCTGAAATGGCCCTATCCTATAGCCATACTGATGAATATCTTGCATATCAAGATAGAAACTTCATCTGGTGATGGATGGATGGATGGATGGATGGATGGATGGATGGATGGATGGAGATAGAGACCGAGACCCACATTGGAGCACCAGACTGAAGTTTCTGTGTGGTTATTTTGTGTGTAAGCTAGCTGAATGGCCAGGATGAAAAGCAGACTCTCCCTCATGCCCTACAACACTTGGCGCTCCTACTTGATCAACTAATTCCACGTAAAACCCAAGAGGGCGTAAAAAGTAATTCCTTCTAGACAAAAACCAACAACAACACAGTTTAGCACAGCTTTTGCTGTTTGCTGGTGGATTGCCACAGAGAGATTTTCCAGACTCAGCCACGCCATTTTAAAACAAATCTTCCTGGGCACTGCCACTGATACAATTGCTGGCTATGGGGCATTTGTGAGCTCAGGTGTTTGTGTGCCCACTCGCGGACAGGAGGAAAGTAGCTGAGACCATGCCCATGCTTGCTTCTTCCTGCCTGAGCAGGCAGTGGGAATAGGTCTACTAGGCTTGGGCAGACAGAAGAGCATAGCCAATTCCTACTGCCATACAGAGAGATGCTTCCAGGTTGTGCAGTGCTCTGCATGGCAGATGTGGTTGTAACTCAGAAAAAAGGGTCAATGTCCTACACACTCATTCTCAGGGTTGGACTACTGAGCATGACTCCTGCCTCACAGCCCCAGAGCTAACAGTAGTGGTGCTTCCACCTTTTTAAAATTGGAGAAAGGCAATGGGACACTGAGTTGAACAGAGATCTCTCAACAGAAGAAGTTCAAATGGCCAAAAGACACCTAAGGTCATGCTCA